GGGCTCTCGCTTGGGGGACCTGGGGTCAAGCCCCTCCTCTACATTTGGCAGAGGAAGGATTTGAACCCAGGTCTCCCCCAGCCTGGGTGAGTGAGCTAACCACTGGGCCGTTGGGTATAAGGCAGGCACTACTAACTCCTCCTTGTTATTTGTGAGACAGGACTGACCTGGCTTAGGTGCCTAACTCCCAGAGAGGGTTCACAGTTGTGAATCCTAAGTGGAGGGAGGCACCTTCTGGTACGCGCCTAACTCCCTTTGGGGGCAGGAGCTTCAGTCGTGCCCCTCTCCTCAGCATTTCCTGTTGGCTAGCTTAAGCAGTTTCCTACTCAACTTGTGCTGGCTTTTGTGAATCCCATTCTTAGGCACCTAACGGCCTCCATGTCGTGCGTAGGGAGCCTGGGTGTCTAACGTGGGGCTGCAGCTTCCACTAAGTGGCAGGCGGCCTAAAAGCAAGGCACTGCAATACTGAATCTAGGTCCCCTGAGCAGATCTAGACCCTGCCGCGATGCTAAAACAAAGTGCTCTTTGTAGCTCTACTGATTCCTGCCCAGCTTCCAATCAGAAATACCACCTGCCTTCAGCATTCAAGTCTGTTCTCTCTGCATTCCAGCTCTTCTGCTACACCCAGTCTATTGAGTCAAATACTGTCCTAAAGTCCATGTAAATTATGCTGCTAACTTTCCCCCGTCAGCAGTTGTTGGTTTGGTTTTTTTTTTGCTTACTCCAAAATAGCTGCCCTGTTAGACATGATCTCCCTTTAGTAAATCCCTGCCGACTGAGCTTAATGAGATTACAGCTCACTAGATATGCCACTGCTGTGTCCTTGGTTTGTCAGTGTTGAAGGCAAGCTGCTGCAGTTGCAATTTTTAGGACATTGCTGGGCATGTAGGACACACGATAAGGCTTGTCCCCAACATGGCAGCCTGTCGACAAGCTCCTGAGTGTAAAGGTGAGAGGTGGAGGGAGAATTGGGGCTCAGGGATGCAGGGGAAGGCATTTCATGGCAACTCAGCTAAACCTGAAAGGGAACATTTTCAAGGCGCCTAATTCCAAAAGACTGGCCATGGGAGTTAGGCACTGAACTCCCATTAGTGACTTAGCAACTCTTGCCCCTTAAAAACTTTACTTCTGAAAGTAAAGTTTTTTTGGGGGGAGCACGAAGCTCAATGCACCTTGAATATCTAGGCTCTGCTCTGTAACTTCCCGTTCCTTCCCCTCTCTACCAAACTGGGTTTCTGCCCTTCCCAAAAATTGAGAAACAGATTTCTCAAGTGTTCAGCACCAGCAGCTCTCCACAAAGCTTCGCTTTCATTTAGGCAGGGAGGTAAAGGTCAGGAGTGAAATCTTGACGTCAAGGGCAAAACTCCCATTGACTTCAGTGAGGAGCCAGGATTTCAGACACACACACCCTCCATCCCAGGCTTTCAAAAGAGGTATATAGCATCGCCGGAGCTCAGGCCAAAGGTAGGCTCTGAATTTGCACTGATTTCAATGAAAGTTAGGAGCCTACCTTTGAGGATCTGGGCCTTAGCTCCAATCTTCCGAGTTCTTTTGAAAATCTGGCCATATTTTGAGGCCTAAATTGGAATGGGCCTGTTTTGAAAATAGGCGATTAGTTCTGAGCTCTTAGGAAAATTCTGGCCTTAATACATTAATTCCAAGAGAAAGCTCATGCACAAGCAGCCATTTGTGTTTGGGGAGGAAGTGGGGGTGATGGGATCTGCATAGTGTCTTGAATTCTTTTGTGCTCAGAAACTTTGCAACATTCCAGTGACATTTCCTAAGTGATTAAAAAAAAAATCCTCAGTAAAGATGTGGATCATCAAATCAAAGTAATTTAGCAAAATGTGACAAGAAAGATTAGCCTTGCCTGATGCTCATCTTGGTTGAAAATGATTTAAATAAAGCTATAAATCTTCTGGAACATTTTGTGTCAGTTGGAAATTGCCATCTAGATTTTGCGTGTTTACAAAAAAAAAAAATCTACATTGATACTATGTGTGCAACCCAGTGGAGAACTTAATTTCCATGGAGGCAGAGAGGAGAAATCTGCTGTCGGGAGAAATGAGTGACTTTGCCCTCTCCTGAGCTGTCTGGCAGAAGAGCCGCTCCGATGGGTGTAGTTGGCCAGTGTCAGCTGCTCCCAGTGGCTTCTGTTCCCCTTTCACAAACACATGGGAATTCAGCAGATCAGAATTAACTCCACCATCTCTCTCTCAGTAATGTTACGTGGGAAGGGATGCCAGAGGAAAGCAGCAATTCCCTTCCCCCACCACTCCAGGACAGAATGGGAAGGAAGTGCAAACACCAACACCTCCAGCTGGGCTGTGTAGGGTATGACCATATAAACCACAGTGTGTTGATAGTTAAGGACCCAGGTCCATTAAAATCCTAGCCCAGTTCAAGCCCCCATTGTGCATTTCCCTGGAAGATCCAGACTTTTTGACTCCTGTGCTTACACACCACACACATGAGCCGGGCGTCGAGTCTCTTGCTACAAGCTGAGTTTTATGGACCATCCTGGCATTGCCGTGTGCTTCGAAAGGGAGGGGGAATGAGAGCACATGTTTCTGGAGTCAGCAGCTGCTCTGCTCCTTGCTGAGGCAGGAGAAGGCCTCCCAGGCCTGCCAAAAGCCAGTGAGAAATGGGGAAGTGGCAAGTCCTAGGCTGCAAGTGTAAAACCTCCCGGCTTTTAATAAAAAGGAGGTGGGCAGACATCAGCTGGCTCTGTTGAAAGCAAGAGATTGCTTATCTGAATGTCTCTTTTGTTTGTGCCAAGTCAATGCACACGCAAAGTGCCAGGCCAAGATGCTGCTCTGTAAAGTTACAATGATGATGCAGCTTTCTCCTTTATCTGCAACCAATTCCTACCGGCTATTAGCACTTTTCCAGAACTTAGCACAAAATGCCAGGGTGCCTTGAATCCCTGGGTGCATATTGGGCCTGGGTGGGTGCCACGGACAGATAGGGAAGAGAGGACTCCTCCGCACCAAGTTGTCAAAGAGCAGTTGCAGCATCCTCTGTGATGCCAACACTGCTGCCCTTTTGCTGGGAATGGCCAGTGGATCTGTATAGTGCCAGGTCCCTGTCCCGGTTGCCGACTTTCCCTGAGGCCTAGTGTGGCAGATATGGCAATTTCCTACAACATGTCTGGGAGATCTGACTGCCTTACATTCGTGGATTGTTGTGGGCCAGGGACTGTATATAATTCCATGGGGGGCAGGTGACCTGTGTGTGTGTGTGTGTGAGAGAGAGAGAGAGACAGCGAGAGAGAATTAGGCAAGTTGACTCAGATTGTATCACCTCCAGAGAGATCCCTCCTCCTGGGGAGGCTCACCTTTACTAGTTCAAACCGGATTCTACAGAGGCCAACAGACTTGTGGATTAATAGCCAGCATTTAAATGGACACAGGACCTGCTTTCTGATCCAGCAAATGGGCAGGACCTTTTGTCCAAGGGCCGGGGGACCCCAAATCCTTAAGGAAGGGTTGAAAGCACTGATACCTACCAGAGCTTGTCGTGGGGGAGCTGGTCTCTCGTCAGTTTTCTAGCATGCATGTAGGTTCTTTTGTTGTTTCTAATGTGATTTCTCTGTCGTGCTTTCACCTTAAGAATAAAATGTGCTTGCTTAGAAAAGGCTATGTGGTAACTTATAACTGTGGGCACGTAGGCTATTCGTAAGCCTTCGAATAGAAAGCTAAGTGCAGATGCTGGTCCAGTCAGCTAGTGTTGCTTGCTGGGAATAACAGAATGTAGATAAGGAACTGCGCAGCCTGAAAAAGTCCCGATCAGGAGGGAGAGACAGAGACAGGCAAGTCTCTGCCCAAGAGAGGTGATGGTGGGGTAACCAGGACCCTAGAGTGGGTGCCTTTGCTGGACCATGGGGAATACAGGTGAAGTTGCCCTACACTGGGACACCTAGGCTGTAACTTTATAATCTGCCTTGCACAAGGGACAACACATAGCCTTAGCAGAGAGTGGATTGTGTTTCCGGCAGTCCCACTTCCTCCCCACTCCTTTACTCTTGCTCCAGGGGAGGAGAGCACATACCAGCAAGAAAGAGGGGGAGGCCAAGGCTGGCCCTGCTCCCAGCCCTTCGCCCTTCACCCCCATCACAGCAGGGCATATTGTGGCTGGAGTCACAAGCCAGGCAGGGGATCTGAGGGACATTCTCTCTGTCTCTCCTATGTGCCCAAATAAGGGACCCTGAATGAACATGATGTTGTCAAGGTCTGTCTTGGCCCAGTGCCCTGGGTGTGGGAGGGGTAGAAGGTCCTGTCTCTGCCATGCCCTAGCCCGTTGTTGTTCCTTCCGTTGGTTGTTCCTTTGCTGTAACCTTGAGCTTCTGGACCTTTGTGCCTAGGATTTGGGCTTGGTTCCTTTGATGGGGTTTCACTGTGAAAGGTCATTCCATATCAGCAGGATTGAGGTGCTGGATACGGCTGTTGTCCCTTTGCATCTCTATGGAGAGCCAGCCGGTTGTGTTATTGTACTGGAAGCCTGCTTCACCAGCAGTTAATAACCTGTGCTGTAGACCGTGATTTGGCAAATTGCGGGGAGGGGGGGAGAAATCAGCAACTTAATTAATTAAAGCTGAATATTTCCTGGCTTTAACTGGATCATATTTTGGGGAGAAGGGAGTATCTGAGAAGGGGGCACCATATATGACTACAAAGTGTACTGGCCCTGCCTGCATCATCAACACATACATGTTTTGGGCCCCCAATCCAGATCTCGACCTGTACCGATCATGTAATTTCCCAAATTGAGGAGCCTTCACACAGAAAGGTGTGCTCGTCTCAAAAGGATTAAAATGGCACAAGTCAACTGAAAATACAAGAACTGTTGGAAAAAAGGAACACAGATTTTTGTGAGGTCAAACCCTCTCCATTCTAATCACAGCTCCTGTTCCCAGCCGAGTCACCAACACTGGTCTTGTTTGATGAACTGACAGCTGTTTAAATTGCTTTCCCTGTCTTGTTTTGCATCGCTGCATCCAGCTGGCTAGCCTGACGTGGTGGACTAGACACAGCAAACCTCCCGCAATTGACCTGGTGAGCTACAAGAGCGAGTCGGCGGAGGTAAATCCTTCAGTGGGCGAGAGTGACAGGGACGTGCCGACGTGGGAGAACACGGATTCAGGGAGCAAAGAACATGGAGGTAGGTTAGCTGGGTCTTCCAAATATGTGCAATGGGTGGGCGTAGGGGACCTGGTCCAAGGCCCACCAGCACCCTTCCAGTGCCTTCAGTGGCATCCGTCCCATGGATCTGATGGTACCACGTTTGTGGCGGTGACAGCTACATGCTAAATTAATTTATCTTTGACCACCGCACCTGCACTCTGCCTGATACCCCATCCCCCCTCGGGTTTATTCTAACATTCCAACCCTCTGTTTCATTCCAGAGAGCTTCCATTTAAAACCAAAAAAAACCCCAACTTTCCAGAGACGTGTTTCCTCCTTCTCCCCCGAAATGTGGAATTTCCCTCTCCCACATGGCCTCGGCCTCAGAACCAGGTTCAGCAACAGCATTTTTAAACTTTAAAAGTATCCCAGCTTTTCTGGCCTGGCAGATCCCTGCATCTGCCAGGCCAGCTGGATGCAGAAACTTCCCAGCAGAGCCTGAGATGGACCAGTGATGGGGACCAGAGAACCACTGAGATAGACCAACTAAGCACTTGCTTTTAAGCTCTAAAGGGCCTGAGATATGGACTTTAAAGCCAGGACAATTTGTTGAGGTTTTTGGGGTGCCAGGACTTGGGGCACCGGGCTTCATCTGCGGGGTCCGTGGTCCCCCCTGAAATAGCTCGCATCCCCCCCCTCAGTTGAGAACCACTGATCTATACCATCCCAGACAGATGTTTGTCTAACTTGCTGCTAAAAGCCTCCAATGAGAGAGATGCCACAAGGTAATTTGTTCCAGTGGTTAACCAACTATTTAGCTTAAATCGCTCTTCACCCTCCCTGGTATTTACAGAGGGTAATCATAGTCCCTCTCAGTCTTCTTTTTGCTAGGCTATAAAAGCCAAACTTTTTCAGTCCCTTCTCATAAGCTAGGTCCTCCATTCCCCTGATCATCCTCTTCTCTGCACCTGTGCCAGTTTGAATTAATCTTTCTTGAACATGGGTGACCAGTATGGTACACAGTATTCCAAATATGGTCTTACCAGTGCCTTGTACAATGGCATTAATATGGCCCTGTCTCTACTGGAAATGCCTCGCCAGGTATTTCCTAGGAGCGCATTGGTCTTTTTTCCACCTGCATTGTATTAGTGGCTCATAGTCATCCTGAGATCAACCCCCATACCCAGGTCTTCCTTCTCCTCTATCACTTCCAACTGATGAGCCCCCAGTTTGTGTAATAAAATTCTTATTATTAGACCCTAAATGCATAACTGTGCACTTTGCACTGTTGAATTTGATCCCGTTTCTGTTACTCAAGCCTTCATGGTCATCCCGATTGTCCTGTCTGATATTCCGATCCTCCTCCGTATTGACAAGGCCTGCCAACTGTATCAGCGAATTCCATTAGCACATTTCTAATTATTAGTTTATTAGAACGAAAATAGCCCCCCGCTCCTTCTCAACGTGGTCAGAGGTTTCCTTTGGAAAACCATCCAAAATTTCAAGTGCCCATTTTGAACCTAACCCTCCTGAGTCCACAAAACTGGAGATCTCGCAAGATGGGAACTCTCTTGTGAGCTTTTGCTACATTTGCTTAGTCTAGACTGGCCATGCTTGAATTAGTTCTCGCCACAGCCTCAGAATGAAGAAGTGAGAAACTACAAAACTTCTCCTCCATTTTTTGGAAATGGCGGCAGTTGGGATTCAAGTTTAGTGTAGCTGTTCAGGGTGCTGATGTTGTTTCTTATCAATTCTTATTATACCTGACCCAGCTCATATTTTTATAGCCTGACGTCTTGGTAATTTGGTAATTAGCAATGATGGGAAAGGAAATGCAGAACAGCTTATACAACAGTTTAATGAGGTTTTGGTAACATGTTTTTTCAAGCTTTTAAGACAGGCTACCTTTCAAAGCGTGGAAGGAACAGCAAGTGACAAGTAAAAGGCATAATTCACACAGCACTTCACGCCTGATAAACAAGCCATGAGTTCTGTGTCAGAGACCATGAAATCCTACAAGTTTTGTGGAGCTTGGTGGAAGTTGGGCAGTGGAGAAATAAGAAGGGTTTTTATTCATTAAACAACAAATGCTTTATATGTCAATCGACAGGGCTTATTTAACCTCTTTGGAGGACAGATTTTCGTTGTCATTTTTAGTTTCATTTTAAGAATGCTGGGGCAAAATAGGGCAGGTTGGATTTGGGGCCTGAGTGCAGGGCTGGGATCCAGGAACATCTCAATCCTAATGGTGGCTGGGCCACTGATTTAGGACAACTATTTTCCAAAGTGACCACTGGTTTTGGGATGCTCACGTTGAGATTCTTTATGCCTGATTGTCCAAGTAGCTGAGTACCTGTAGCGTCGGGTCAGCTTCTGGGAGATATGGGCACGTGGAACTTCTTGAAATGGTTCAAGCGGCGCATCCAAAAACGTAGGTGCGGAAAATCAGCAGCCACTTTGGCAAATCACCGAACCTCTTTGCAGCTCAGTTTCTGTACAACGTTATACTCACTTGGCTACCTCCAGCCCATGAAAAGGACTGATTCATGCTTGCCCAGCACTTGGAAAATATCAAGTGCTACTGATGCAATGTGCTATTTTAAATGTCCTTTCATCTGGGTTTCAGCTAGCTTACTTGTGCTGTGAGAGTGAACAGGGCCGTGCTGTTTAACCAGCTTACCCGTTCACTTCCTTTGCAGCACTGACTAGGTCTGGCTTTTGCTTTGTGCTCTTAGAAGAGAACAACTTTTTAACCACAATCATGGTCATTTTTGGACTATTAATTCCTCTGGTTGGGGTGAATTCTTTAATGCGGAGCCAGGGGCGCCGGAATGTCCCTAAAAGTGGAGGGTCCATGGGCACCTGAACTGTGGCCCCGCCTTCACACTACCGCTTCCCTCAAGGCCCCGCCCTCACACTGCCCCTTCCCCCTGAGGCCCCACCCTCGTGCCACCCATTCTCCCAAGACCCCGCCCTCACGCCATCCATTCCCTCCAAACCCCGCCCTCGTGTTGCCTCTTCTCCCCAAGCCCCCCCGCATCGCTCACATTTATGGCCAGTAAAAAGTGGGTGGGCATACCCCTGCGCAGAGTCGTTCCTGAGCTGCAACCATTGGTTCCTGGACCTATCATCAGCTGAGAGGGTGAAGCGTTCCCTTCCATTGAGGATGTGGCTCAGTGTGGCTGGTTTTCACCCCATACACCTCAAGCAGTGATGCTGCATGGGAGATGTGCAGACAGGTGACATGGTGCATTTAGGGCATGGGACAGAGGTGAGGCGAGTGGAATACCCCAGCGTTTAGAATATGGGACTAATTCCCCCTCTCTGTATGTATTTCCTACAGCAGTGAGCCCTCCTTGCTGGAAGAAGTTATATTTCTGGTTCTGCGGGATCTCCAGCAGCCCAGGACCCACACTGACCAAGGAAGAGAAAGCAGTCCTGGAAAGGAAACTCACCAGCATTGTGGAAAAGCCCTTATCAAAGATTGTTTGCAACATTAATGCTATAATCCTACTAGCTTTTAACGTCTTTCTGTGGGGATACTTTGGCTGAAGACGGGGCTGCAGACAGTACTCGGCTGGCTTGGCTTTGATTTAGAATATAGCAGTAATGCTTAGAGACCTCAAGCAGGTCAGGACCACATTGTTCTTGATGCCACGCATACAGTAAATGGAATTCCCTGCCCCAAAGAGCTTACAATCTAGAAGACCAAACCTAGTGGGCAGGGATAGCATAGCATTTACCAGGGAGCATTTTTATCAGGTAAAATCATGTTTTTGTCACCTAGGGAAAAATGAATTGGGCCCAGTTTATGATATTTTCTATTTTTAAAATTGTTTTACTATCACACACATCACACTTAGTTGTAGTTACATAGTCAAATTGCATTATGTAGTCAAATAAGGCACTCGATTAGGAGATTAATTTAGGATTGTACAAATAAACAAGTAAAATTGCAGTGAGCATAATACAAATATATGTAATGAGAATAGTGTCAGAATGTCTGTAAACAGTTTAGTTTGGTGTTTTCTCCAGGAAGTTATACAGGCCATGACAACTTTCAGTTTTCTATATTCTATAATCCAAAGTCAAAAGCCTTCAGTGACAATAATGCAGAGTTGTAGCCATGAAGCATTAAGCAATCAGAAGCATGCAGCGCTGCAGACAACCTGTACAGGTCTGGTTGCCCACGGAGCCTGCTGTAGCAGACCAACTTGGATGCAGTGGGTAGACGGAACCTATTTCTCTGTTTTGAATGGATGTATCCAAAGTCTGAAAAGATTCATTCTATGCTTGCTGAACTGGCTGGACACCAATGGACTTGCACCACCGGTTCTGTGACATCAGGGGGACTCTTGGCATTCTTCAGATTTTTTTCCACCATGCTAAAGGGGAATTTTTTTTCCTTGTAGCGGATGAAAACGTCAATTTTAGCTACAGTGAGTCTTCTATGTTAAATGCAAGTAAATATGGCAGAAAGTCGGGATTTTTGCTCAGCAGCTACTGCTTGCAATTTCTTCTTGTTCCGATGACACATTTCTTGCCTGCGTATTTTGGCTGAAGGAGGTCGGCCAACATTTGTAATTGCCTCATGAAATCTCTTTGGTACGTCTGCTTTATGTGGGGCAAGATCTTCATTTATCAATAGATCCGTCTCGTGTCCCTTTTAGAGTATGTTAAGTGCCGCAGAAACTGAATTGAATTGACTGATCAAGTCATTTGCTTCTCGGTAAATCCTTTGATTATTAATTTCACTGACCACTCTATCTTGAAATTCCGCCTCTAGCTCACTCATAATCCTGAGATAATGTGGCCAATTTTTGAATATATGTTTCCAGACATGTTGTTTGACTGTTTCAGTATGTGTTACCAGGGATTTACAGAACTTGACAGTCTTTTAACCAGGCTCCAGGTGATTACGAAAATACTTTTGTAAATCGCCAACATGTTTCTTCAAAGCACTCAATGTAAGGGCTTGTCCAAGTCGATTGAGCCAATGTGATGCACATCCATACTTAGCCAAAGTGTGGTTAGCTTGTTCCAAATCACTGCCCATACTTGGCATTTTTTCCTCATTGTCTGTCGTGTAGCTCTTAACGCAACCATACCGTTCGTTGCTAATGCCTTGGCTTCTCTTATCGGTGTAGCACAATACTTTCCAGTCTTCTTATATCAACTGCTGCTAAGGAAACCACAGTCAGCTATCACTGGGACAATGTGGATGTTATGCCAGCCATCTTGTAGTCATGGAACTGCTTTTCCATATAATTTGTTGTGTGCTTCCACCTTTAAGCCATCAGTAACTGCATCTAACCGTTTACCTGCTTTCAGCTGGGTGCTTTGTAGCCTGGCCTTAGGCAGCTGATCAGTGCTTGAAAAAAGTGGATGTTCAGTCACTGAAAAGGGAATAGTACAGCCATAAAACAGTTCTGCAGTTTTCAGGGCTACCTTTTGTTTTAGTTCTGGCGTTGTTTTCGTGACAAACATATGCACGTGTGATTGAAAAACTGACACTTCCTCCTCATTGTCTTTGGCTGATGTGGATCTGCCTTTCTCTTGCTGCTCTTGGCAATAGCAATGCACTATTATCGGTACCTTCTGTGGTTAGATGTTGATAGATGTTTGGCTGCGTGTGTGCTCCCTCTGTGTGCCACCCCAGCCCTGCGCAGACAGCTGGCACGGCAGACCTCAAGCGAACCACCCAATGACCACAAGATCCAGTAAGGGACGAAGGCACCCAGCCAGGTTTATTGTCAATGAAGCACGGTACTAGTATCCCGGACCACTAATACATGTATGCCCATAACAATGGACCGGGTCAGTGAACGGTGGGATTTTCCATTCCTGTGCCAGACAAAAATATTCCCTCTGAGATACATCTTTATACCCCGATACAAACAAGTTACATACTGCCCTTCTGACACAGTCAGTTACTGCCCCCTGACATAGTTAGTTTTACCCATTACCTTGCACATGTTGGTTCAATCAAAGCATTTCTATTACGTACTGTCATCCTGACCTTATCTTTTAGGAAGGGTCAGTGTGTTCCTGTTATCCTTGGGGAATGTTTTTCTACCATGCTTGATATCGGGATGTTCTGATACCACTTGATATCAGGATGTATTTGTGTGAGTACTCTGTGACTTCTTAGGAATGTGTATTTCTACAATATCTGCCCTGTTCTTGCCAGATTCTGAGAGCAGGTCCTGCCTCATAGCAAGCCTCTAATAAAAAGGCTTATGTCTCAGGCTCTCTTCCTACAACACCTTCATCCTCAGAGTCTGATTCTAATACTCACCTATATTGTGGGGGCAATTAATGTGTCAGGCCTGAAATGAGTTACAGTGTGGGGGGCCCTTAGCCAGCCGGTATTGTGGGGCTTCCGGGGAAGGGGGTCACGCTCCTGTCTAGGGCTGCATCATTATGTAATTACCAAGACTCCCTACTGGAAATAATGGTGCTTTAAAACAAAAATTTAAGAGGGTTTTTAGAGTGTCTGTTTCCTGCTGCTGTCAGCACTGGGATGGTGAATGAAGCGACTTATCCGGCCTCGCAGCTAAACATTCTGCACCCAGCGTGATATAACCAGACCCAGGGCCAGAGCTGCAGCCAGACAGTCTGCTGGGCTGCCATGCTTATCACAGACAGGTGGGCTAGGGCCTGTGCTTTTCATATTAAAATGAGCATATTTTGCGCTGGCTGGTTATGCTGCACAGGCTGCTGGGCCGGGCTTTGCAAGCCCGGGGTGGGGGGCAGAGGGGGCCGCCTGCTGAGACATCTCGCTGCGCTTGGGTGGCCTTACTTAAGAGACAGTGTGCAATGCTTGCATATAGGGGCTTTGCAGCTCACTGAGCCCCTGTGCGGCTAGCACTCCCACTGGGGAACCAGGACCATCCGCTCTGGGACTCATCTAGCCCTGTGGTGGCCTCCTAGCAGCCGAATGCCAGTTCTGCATCTGAGCCAGGTTTCTCTGGCAGCGGGGGCCAGGGATGCCGCATGTTGCCAATAAGCCCGTGCTAGCCCTCTCAGTCGTACTAGGAGGTGGATGGAACAGGCCATCCTTACAAGTATCAGAGCAGTGCCATGCAATGGGGTGTTTTCTTTTCCTACCTTATCTGGGGCTGGTACATAGCGTACTGGCCCTAGCCTGAGCTCAGACAAAGGCAAGGTAACACGGCCGGGATTCAGATATGACCGCATAAGGAGTCAACGATGAGTGGAGAAAGACTGGTGCAATTTAAGAGAGTGCGTGACAGGTTTGTAAAAGACAATTCCCAAGTGTGTCTTTCACCGGTGGCATGATTATTAGGCAGGAATAAATACGATTCTCGGACTCACCACAAGCCCCAGTGTCACTGCGACACGGAGGCGTTCTGCCTCTCAGAACATTGTATGTCCAAGAAAGTAGAGATGCTTTTACTTGTGAGAGAGGAAGACACACGAGCGCTTAAACTTCTGGGGCAGAGCTTGGTGGGAGCTTTTTGTGATCTACGCGTCGGGGGTAGCACACAGGACGGCGTGTTGGCAAACACTGAGAGCTGAGCTATTTTCACCTAGGCTTCGGTAGTTCAGCTGGCGCAAATTGGCAATGCTCCACTACCATCAAAGGAGCTATGTGGATTTACACCAGTCGTGGCTCAAGCCCGAGCAGTTGCAGTTGTGCAGAACGGTGCCCAGATGAAGCCCGTGGGTGCTTCAGAAACACTTTAACAGAGAACTGCTCCAGGTTAGAGACTAGTACAATTGGACCTCTGTATGTAACGCATTCAAGTGGCCTAGGAAAGGGGGAAGGACGAAAAAGGAGAGATGAAAAATACACACAGATCCATCCTTGAACGGGTAAAGCTTTATCTTCCATGCCAGCATTTCTCACGGACTAACTTGTCTGCATCGCAAGGCCTTGTGCAGCCTTGTTGTTCAGAGCTTGTGATAAATGGCAATATCCTAAAAAGACTGCATTGCATTCAGAATTGTAATGGGTACACAAGTCCATTGGCAGCAGACATTATTAATCATGCCAATGTGTATTTTCTTATTTATCATCCCTACTAGGCTTGTGTCTATCAGCAAATGATTATCATTCATTTTCCTCACAAATCTATCAAGATCATTCATGATTGTTCAGCAAAGGATCGTCTTTTAAACAAAGATTAATGACTTGACAGTTTGTCTGACTGGCTGAGCAAAAGGAAATGAAATTAACAATGAACCCTACAAACATGTCACCACTTTAATTTACCAGAAAATATTTCAAAATGTTCGCTGTGGTAGGCAGATTTTTTTATATAAAAAGGAAACTCCATAAATTTTAAGGTGATGGACAGCAAGTTAGCAAACATGGAACCATTTTTCCTGTAGTTCTTTGCCTAGATTTTCTAAGAGAAAGAAAGAAAGAAAGAAAGAAAGAAAGATCTCCTCACATGGGTCTCCCCTCAAGTCAGTCTGCACAGACAATCTTACCAACAACCTTGGGATGAACTCCAGCAAGGGGGTGACAAATGAGGATCAAAAAAGCATTTAACGAAGCCAATCAGATCCATTACTGAGCTCAAAGCCC